GTTATGACCGTTCATGGCGCTTGTGGGATTTAGAAGCTCAAGAGGAGATCCTGCATCAGGAAGGCCACAGCATGGGTGTGTATGACATTGCCTTCCATCAAGATGGCTCTTTGGCTGGCACTGGGTAAGACTTCCTCCACAAAGCAAGGGGGTGGGCAGGTCAGTAGTCTCACCTCTTAGGCATCCCTGCTTCCCTATGGAACTGGATTTTGAGTATTCACATATATGTTGTTTCTTCAGGGGACTGGATGCATTTGGTCGAGTTTGGGACCTGCGCACAGGACGGTGCATTATGTTCCTAGAAGGCCACCTTAAAGAAATCTATGGAATAAATTTCTCCCCCAATGGGTAAAGCACATTCAGTGAATGGGAAGGGTTCTGGTCAGATAGTACTCTTTGTTTCTAACTATGATGCTTCTGATCCACAGATACCACATTGCGACTGGCAGCGGTGACAACACCTGCAAAGTATGGGACCTTCGACAGCGACGTTGTGTCTACACCATCCCTGCCCATCAGAATTTAGTAACCGGTGTCAAGTTTGAGCGTAAGCTTTGCTCTTGTCTCAGCCTTAACACCAGACTCTTCATGGAATGTATGCCCAGGCATTGGACTTAGACATGGAACCTCTATTAAAGAAGCAAATTTTAATTACCTTCCCTCTGCCATACCTATGTGGTAAAGCATGCTTCTTGAGGCAAAGACTTCTGTGAAGGCTCTGTTTCATTTTGTCTTCCATGGACAGGCAGGCAGGAAATGCTTGGTGTTACTGAACAGACTGTCCACCAGAGAAGGACCACATAGGCTTCATACCATTATTGGGTATTCTCAATCCTCTTATGACTGTCCCTTACCTTGGAGGGCCCTAGAAATGTAGAATCTATGTGTTAGGTTTATCTGAATGCAGACATAACCTTTCTTTCAAATTAATATGTTTTGGCAGATCTTTGTGCTTTTGTGTTTTTAAGATCTTTTTGAATACCTAAATTTTTCATGCTTGCTTTATTTCTCCTACAGCTATCCATGGAGACTTCTTGCTCACAGGTGCCTATGATAACACAGCCAAGATCTGGACCCACCCAGGCTGGTCCCCTTTGAAGACTTTGGCTGGTCATGAGGGCAAAGTAATGGGCCTAGACATTTCTTCTGATGGACAGCTCATAGCTACTTGCTCGTATGACAGGACCTTCAAGCTCTGGATGGCAGAGTAGGCAAGACCATGGAAGGACTCAGGCCTTGTCCTCTCACCAAGGAGCCATTTTCCTCAGAGGAAAGAATTGTGCTGTGTTCTATCATGTTTTCTGCCAAATACCATGTGTAGGATTGGATTTTCACATCAACCCCACTCTGAGTAGCCCAGTCTAGGTGATGGCAAATCCTTCATGATTAGAATGCAATTCTCGTCTCAGGTTCTGCAGTGAACTTTGTAGACATTGTTTTGACTCATCACTTTTGAATGCCCTCCCACCTCTGTCAGTGCTCAGGACCTTGACTATTTCATTTTTAAAATTTTTTTATTTGGCATTTTGAGACAGGTCTGTCTCTCTAGCCCTGACTGTCCTAAAACTTGGTGTATATGTCAGGAGGCTTCACATTGTAAGTGACCCTCCAGCCTCTACCTTCCAAGTGATGGCATTACAGAAATGTGCTGCTGGGCCTGACAGTTGGGTTTGTAATGCTTGAAACATGGCTCTCTATAACATGGTTTGTGCTCCATACTACATGCGATCCAGCAGGAAGATAGCAGACTGTATTTGAATCCCCCAGTTAATAAGGCAGGCCGAGTAGGACCTGAGGGTAAGCTCCTCTCTCACCCCTGAGAATGGGGTGTCGAGCAGTGGACTGCAGCAAAGAGCTCACCGAGGGTGCTGACTGCATCCATAACTCAGAACTGAACACATCCGCCTTGTGGTTGAAAACCTCTTCCATTTTGCTTTGAAGTTTGGCCTCCTAAGGCTATTGTATCCATATTCAAAGGAATTTTTAGAAAACAAACATGATGTCTGTGGTACAGCCTCCTTCCTGTCGATTGTTTAAAGGGTGTATTTTCTGTATTAAAGGATACTTCATGTCACAGTAAATGGTGGGGGGAAATCGCGAGTTTCTGTTTGGGCATTCCAAACATAAACTTTTTTTTTATTATACACTTGCTGAGAGTAAAATTCTACCATAAAAATATCTTTCAAAGGATTATTTTCTAGTCCGTTTTATGAATCTTAACCATTAGTCCAAAGAGGTTCTCTTTTTTAGTTTTGAGATCTAATATAATTTTGGGTGTGAATTGTCCAATTTCTACCACTCTTCACAGGTTTTATAGTGGGTGTTTTCAGGGGGAAAGGTGTAGGTCTTTTTGACAGAGTCTTGCTCTGTAGCTCAGATTGGCCTCAGACTTCATGCTCCTGCCTCTGCATTTCAAGGTCTGTGAATTGCAGGGATAGAGTCGTTGGCCTGGGGAGCACTAACGTGAGCTCTGGACTCCACAGTTCTTTGTCAGTCTTGTGATTTTCTTCACCTCTAGACTCCAGAATTGCAAGACTCACACAAGACAATAGTTTGAAAGAAGGCTGTTTGTAGAGGAAAGTTAGCATGGCTCACGCTGGCGCCCCCAGTAGTGAGTGCTGCACTCTGTCGGACATCTGTCAGGTCCTGCTCCTCTGCAGATGGCGCCCCCAGTAGTGAGTGCTGCACTCTGTCGGACATCTGTCAGGTCCTGCTCCTCTGCAGATGGTGCCCCCAGTAGTGAGTGCTGCACTCTGTCGGCCATCTGTCAGGTCCTGCTCCTTTGCAGATTATGGATATGTGATAGAAAGCAAGACATGGTTTGAGGTCTTTGTTTTGTTTTTTAACTTTTGTTAAGTTTTTTACTATGTGTAGCCCTGGCCAACCTGGGACTTGGTGTATTAATTAGGCCAGGCTAGCCTCAAACTCAGTGATCCACCTGCATCTGCCTCCCAAGTGCAAGGATTAAAGAGGCATGCCCACTATGCCTGGCTAAATATATATTTTAATCTGATTCCAGTTACAGCTAAAGGTATTTTCTCTATAGCTGTAAGCATCTCGTGTCTACCCTTCATTTGGAGCTTACCCGTAAGCTCTTGTTTTCCCTTAATAGTGGACCATGAAGAATACCTTTTCTTGATTTCCCTGTAGTTATAAAGTGGTGGGACTGCTGTGCCGCCCCAAGTTTTGGTTCCTCTGGTTTAAACTTTACTAGGACAACATTTTTTTTTGTCCCACGAGAGCATTTGAGCTGAAAATGTACTTTGTAAGACTTAGGCAGAGCAAGTATCTGGAGAAGCAGACATTTCTTCAACCATTTTAAGAAGTGAAACCAGAGCCAGGTGGTGGCAGGAGGCAGAGGCAGGTGGATCTCTGAGTTCGAGAGCAGCCTGCTCTACAGAGTGAGTTCCAGCACAGCCAGTGCTACACAGAGAAAGCCTGTCTTAGATGATCTGAATAAATAAATAAAGGATTGCCGAGATATATTCCCTTTCTATGGGCAAAACAGACTCCAGTGACCGGCAAAATTATCCAGCTACTAAGGGTTTGAGACCGTGTGAAGTGATTTCCCAGAGTTATGTGGAGAAAGTTGGCCATAAGACAGGACCAGGACTGCACATGTGGCCTGGCTGCTGGGTAGCCAGCATTTTCCCCTTTCTTCCTTACACTTGCTGCTGACAAATCACTCTGACTGTGAAGAATCCTGTCGTGTAGAGCAGGCAGCCGCAGGTCCCTAACCTCAGCACACCCAAAGGTGTTCCCATGTTTCTAGATGTCCTGTAAGTGGATGAGACTGCTTGTTAGGATTTGATTCAGAGATGTCCCGGCACTGTTGTGTGCTATTAAACCTTCAGGACCTGGCTATTGCAAACAGGCCACCAGTGAGGAGTCATTGAAAGCGATTAGCCCCGGTCCTGTTCCCAGCTGCCCTCTGCCTTCTGGTATGCTGTGATGTGGCAGGCACCAACAAACTCCCTCCATGTGCTCAGTACCCTCTGAAACCATGAGCCCAAATCAACCTCCCTTCAAGTTGTTTCTGATACCGTCACAGGGACTAATGACTAATGCTACCCCAAGGTTAGAATTAATAAATGCAAAGTAGGAGTGAACATTCTAAACATTGTCCATCCTAACAAACTTACTAGTTTTGGTAGATCCACCATCCTGAAAATGGTAGCTGGGTAACCCTGGCCTGAGCCTCAGTCCCATCACAATGAAGCCTCCCTGGACCAGGGCCTCTGGAGGAGGGAAAATGTTTCTGCTTGGGCCTTTACCAGCTCCTCTTTCCCTGTCCCAATTAGCTCAGAGAATATGGTGAGATAGTTGCCTAACTTACTTGCCACAAAGTTAAACAAAAGTATGTAGAGAAATGAAGTCAGTGGGGGATGTGAGCCTCAGTGCTGGTGCAGGATCAGTGCCGCAGTCGCTAGTCTCAGTTTCGTAATGGAATTTCCTCCACATTGGAGCTGAAAACTATCTGGATTACTTAATCAAAATATAATTTGTATCTTGACTATTTTATAGTATCTTGTACCTTGACCCCTAAGGAATTTATAAATAAATGATACTTCTGCAAAAATATTTAGAGCAAATAAAACTGACTCAAGCTCTGATCTCTGACAGCTTATTCTATAAATCAAAAAAAGTAAAATGTCTCCTGATTGTGTTAGACACTTTGGGACTGCTTCACAGTCTGGAGCCAGAAAAACATGTTCAAACCAGAGAAGCAGCAGCTGGTCTGGCTAAATTTTAGATTCTTGATTCCTGGGTTCTGTCATATGAAGGAGGAAGGCCGGGTCACCCCTGTGTCCCAGACTGCTCAGCCTGAGGTGCAGCTGAGGCCTCTCAGGCCCCGGGCTCTCACCAGCCGGCCCGCATGCCCTCCCTTCAACTGAGGGCCACCTGCAACCCCAGGAACAGTCTATCTTCTCTCTCAGCCTCTGACCGATAAATGGTTGTGGAAGGAAGAAACCAATGAATTAAAGAATGCAGGCTAATTTTACTGGGAATGGTAAGAATCAGAGAAAGCTGAAAGAAGAGACAAACACATTGGCCCACAAATGGAAACACTCCAGAATTGTCAGCAACGCATGAACAGCTCAGCACAGCTCCAGTGAAATGTCTGGACCGTGCTGTCCAGCCCTTTGGAGCCACAGAACTCTACACTCCAGGACCCCACAGTTCACCTTCAGGGCTCTCTACCCTTTGGCTTTTCCTGTCGGGCCATCTCTGTTCTCCAAAGCAGACACATGACCTAACCAAACCCTGGGCTCAAATGAGCAATACTACAAGGAAGACAACATCAAAGGAGGCTCGGTGGTCCCCATTCCGGCAACCACAAAGAAAGGCTCGGTTCCTTGTGCTGGAACAGAGGGTGCTCATCCCATGCCCCAAAAGAACTGCTTAGTCCAAAAGATGGAGAAGATGAGCAGTAGGGTACCACTGAGGATGACAGCCATCAGGTAGGTAAAGGTCCGGAAGTGAGGGTTGCGGGTACACTCTCTGAGAGAGTAGTGGCTGGGGATGGGCACAGGTCTGGTGTCAGGCACTGTGTTATGAGAGGTTCCAGTCTGACTCCCAGGCTCCAACCCAAAGTCCAGGGTATAGACCTGAGGCTGACGCAGTAAGTAATGGCTCTTGGGTTGGTCCTTGAGACAGAGCTGGTGGCCCTCAAGGATGATGTGGTGGGGTTCTAGGCGGAGCAGGGTCAACATGGCAGTGTCTGTAGGCAAGTCAGTGACTGGTTGCCCTGAAGCCAGCACGGTGGGCTGACGGCAGAGTGGGCAGAGCAAGCGGCGCTGGGCTGGAGCTGCCAGGCTGAGGTGGAGCAGGCACTCCACGCAGCAGGAGTGGCAGCAGTGTAGCACTTTGGGAGTGTGGACCGTGTTGTTGAAGGGGCTCCAGCAGACAGGGCACTCAGCTGTGAGCTCTTGGCCCTGTGGCTCTGCCATCCTCAGATCACATGCAGGGAGCTTCATAGGGGGTCCTGGTAGAGCAGAGAAAGATTAAAGCATCCCCATGGGCTCTGTCCCTGAGCTTCCACCGCAGCCCCAAGCTCTCAGAGGCTAAACGCTGTCTACACCCACATTTCACAGGTAGAAGAATGCAACTCTAAAAGCATTTTGTCCAAGGACATCCAGTCCTGCTCACTGACTTAAGTCTGAAGCTACATAGCCAGTCACCCAGTGTGGAGACCTGAGCCACCCTATAAATCACCCTACTGGCAGCACCAGAATGAACTGGTAGTGGAGGGGACAGCCTGGGGCTTTGGGGATGGCTACAAATTCAGCCTTTTCGCTCTGCATTTGCTCCAGGCTGCCTTGGCTCCCAGTGAGTTTCCTTCCCCGCAACCTCAAATCCCTGGCTAGAGCAGAGATGGGCTCTGTGATTTCCCTGGTGTGCCCCTCTGCTGGGGACAAATGCCAGCCCCCTTTCTGCTCCTTTGGAAGTTTTGGGCCAGAGGCCAACTCTTTACAGTCGACTGACTGGTTCCGGTGAGCAACTCTTGAGAGGACTCCCTTACTCAGGCCCCAGATCAGTTCGGTGTTTCTTCCCAGTTCTCACCTTCCTCCTCCCACTTTCTCCCGGCACCCACCTGGGCTTCTGTGGACTTAGAGGTGATCAGAAAGACCACTCTTGAAGGGTATGTGTTTCCCGTCTTTCCCCGCTACTGAACCGCCTAACTCTGGAAAACTGCCACCTCCAGGCCAAGCCCAAGACCGTTTCCCTGACAGCGTGCTCACAGCACCTGGAGCTGCCAGGAGTCAAGGCCAGAGACCTGCCTGAGTGGTTCCTGGGAGATCCAAATGAGTTGTACACCCGCTGGCGCATGTATGCGCGCGTGCGCGCGCGCACACACACACACACACGGGTCTGGCAACCAATTGAATGTAGAGCAGGTAGAGATTAGAGGGTGACTCTTTTCACCCTGTAATCCCTGGACTGGTAAGAGTGACAGTCTTCTCTTCTGTCTTCTGGGGCTCCTCTCTCGTGAGCCCTCATTTCTTTTATAAAATGCTGGAACCTACTTGCACAAAGGAATTACCTGCCATGTGCTTCGCTTGCTGCACAAACCTATAAGATCTATCAGTCACCCAAAGCCTGAGCCTCTCTTTATCTTTTAACTACTGGCTTTGGTAGCCACAACCAAAATAGGCAAACCTTCAGGACAGAGACAGTCCCACCTGGGAGAGGAGCATTCTGGCCACGCTTCCCCACTTCAAACAGAAACATTTGACTTTTATCTCTTGCCTATGTTGACCATTTAAATGATCTGAAGAGTTGAGTTGCTTCCGGGGAGGTGTTCAAGAAAACTTCATGGAAACATTCACTTTATGCATGAAAACAAGAAGTGGTTCTGGCGAGTTACAACAACACACGTGTGCACGAGAGAGCACACATGGGGCCTGACGACACATGTGTGCTCTCTCGCACACATGGGGCCTGACATGTGTCTTTGGATTCCCAGTCCCCATGTGCTACAGTCACAAAGACAGAAGCTGCAGCCATTTAGTTCACCTGTAGAATGTGTGGAAAGAGCTGTTTCTCCTAAGACTCCTTTTGTCCCTTAGGATTCTCTGGGTAGGAACCCAGGAACTGTGCAAAGGAAGACTTCGGGGTAGTGCAGCTTCCTGGAGACTTAACATGATGCTCTATATCCTAGCAATTTGGAACCTGAAGCAAAACCTGTGTCTACTTTTACCTTCCTGCTTTTGTCTAGACCTCAGTCACGGCTCAGACATGGACTAAGGAAGTGAAGACATTCAGGGAAAGATGACATGGCCATAACCAAAGCTAGGAGAGCTTCATGCAATGAGCCGTCCATTCCTTCCTGAACACTGAAGGCTTACCGCGTGCCAGGCGCCGAACTAGGTAGGCGCTGATAGACAAGGGTGAACAAAATCAACCTTATCCTTCATCTCATGGCTGTCATAGGCTGCTGAGGCGAAAACGATGCCTCATGAGTAATGAGAAACAAAGAATTACATATAATTATACATAACTATAATTATATATTATACATAATTTTATATATATATGTAATCACAATGTAACCCTGAATGTCCTGGTGCCACCATACCTAGTGAAATACGTAATATTTATTTATTTATTTATTTATTTATTTATTTATTTATTTGTCATGTATAGTATTCTGCCTAAATGTATGCCTGCAGGCCAGAAGAGAGCTCTCAACCACTGAGCCATCTCTCCAGCTCCAAAATACATGATTTTAATGAATGTTACAAAGAACAAAAAAGAAAACGGGCTTGGGAGCCTAGCAGTGGTGGCTCACGCCTTTAACCCCAGCACTTGGGAGGCAGAGGCAGGCGGATCTCTGTGAGTTTGAGACCAACCTGGTCTACAAGACCTAGTTCCTGGACAGGCTCCAAAGCTACAGAGAAACCCTGTCTTGAAAAAAAAAAATGGGCTTGGAATGGAAGTTTTCTTCAAAGAGGTGATGTGGAGGAAGAGCATGCCAAGCCCAGAGGTAAATTCTGCCAGTGTAAGAAAGTGAAAGGCCAGGATGGCTAAGGGGCTGGGTTAAGCAAGAGTTCAACATACTCAGAGTGAAAGCAAGAAGCAGAGTCTGTAAGTTCAGCAACACAGATACAGACCCACAGAGATATTTGTTCATTGCTGCACTGTGAACAATGACAAGACATGGACCCCACCTAGATGCCCATCAGGATCAGTGGATTGCTCACACTCCACCACTGGATTGTACTGCGTGTCTTTTCGCTGCTCCGTGTCTGGCCTTCCCTGACCGCGCTTGTCATTGACAATGGCTCCAGCATGTGCAAAGCTGGCTTTGCTGGCGACGATGTCCCCAGGGCCGTGTTCCCGTCCATCATCGGGTGCCCCCAACACCAGGGTGTCATGGTGGGCATGGGCCAGAAAGACTCCTACGTGGGTGACGAGGCCCAGAGCAAGAGAGGTATCCTGGCCCTGAAGTACCCCATCGAGCACGGCATTGTCACCAACTGGGATGACATGGAACAGGTCTGGCATCACACCTTCTACAACATGTGGCCCCTGAGGAGCATCCGGTGCTTCTGACCGAGGCCCCACTGAACCCGAAAGCTAACAGAGAGAAGACGCAAGTAATGTCTAAAATCTTCAATTCTCCAGCCATGGACATGGCCATTCAGGCGGTGCTGTCCCTGTGTGCATCTGGGTGTACCACTGGCATTGTCATGGACTCTGGTGATTGGGTCACACATACAGTGCCCATCTACGAGGGCTACGCCCTTCCCCATGCCATCTTGCATCTGGACCTGGCTGGCCGGGACCTGACAGACTACCTCATGAAGATCCCGACTGAGCAGGGTTACAGCTTCACCACCATGGCTGAGCAGGAAATTGTGCGTGACATTAAGGAGAAGCTGTGTTGCCCTGGATTTTGAGAAAGAAATGGCCACTGCTGCATCATCCTCTTCCTTGGAGAAGAGCTACGAGCTGCCTGATGGGCATGTGATCACCATCGGCAATGAGCGATTCCAGTGTCCAGAGGCTCTCTTCCAGCCTTCTTTCCTGGGCATGGAATCCTGTGACATCTATGAGACCACCTTCAACTCCATCATGAAGTGTGATGTGAACATCCGCAAGGACCTGTATGCCAACACAGTGTTGTCTGCTGGTACCAGTACCCAGGCATTGCCGACAGGATGCAGAAGGAGATCACAGCCCTAGCACCTAGCACAATGAAGATTAAGATCATCGCTTCCCCTGAGTGCAAGTACTCAGTCTGGATTGGCGGCTCCATTCTGGCCTCACTGTCCTCCTTCCAGCAGATGTGGATCAGCAAGCAGGAGTATGACCAGTCGGGCCCCTCCATCGTCCTCTTCGAATGCCTCTAGAAGAACTGAGCAGGTGCCAGGCATCTGCTGCATGAGCTGATTCTGAAGTATCAATTTGCCCTGGCAAATGTACACACCTCACGCTAGCCTCATGAAACTGGAATAAGCCTTTGAGAAGAAATTTGTCCTTGAAGCTTGTATCCAATATCAGCACTGGATTGTAGAACTTGTTGCTAATTTTCGACCTTGTATTCAGGTTAACTGTTCCCTTGGTAATATGTTTATACCCTGTGCATCTCTTGATTTAGTCCCTAGTGTAAGTGGCTCGGTCACTTGGTGGCTGGGGAGAGCATGCTGTGGAAGAGAATCCCCAGCCTGGTGGATGTGTGAGCACCGTGCAGTGGTCTGTGCAGGGTATTACTGACTGCTGACTTCCAGGATTTCTGGAGGCTGGCAAGGGTCTAACAGGGTGGGAACGTCCGAGCTTTAGGACCCAGTGTCTGTTCTGGAGTTTTCCCTCCTGACTGCTGTGGGGTGTTAGTTACTTGCCTTAAGTTGGGAACGTTTGCACTGACATCTGTAAATGTTTCCATTCTTTTAATTTATGTAAGGTTTTTGTACTCAATTTAAGAAATGACAAATTTTGGTTTTCTACTGTTCAGTGAGGACATTAGGCCCCAGCAACATCATTGTGTAAAGAAATATAAAAGTGCTGCAGGAAAAACAAAACAAAAAAAGATTAGTGGATTTTCAGAATAATTATTATATATACACAGTGGAGTTTAGTCAGCCATAAAGAATGAAATTATACCATTTGCAGGAAAGTGGATGGAACTTTTAAGTGGTTATCATATTAAACAAAATAAGCCAGAATCAAAATGAAAAATGTATGTTTTCTCTCATATGCAGAATCTAGATTTAAATGTATATGTTTTCTTTCTTTTTAAAAAAATTATTTATTTATTATATATAATATATATATATATATATAATATATATATATATATATATATTCTGCCTGCATGTGTCCCTGCAGGGCAGAAGTTGGCATCAGCTCTTATTACAGATGGTTGTGAGCCACCATGTGGTTGCTGGAAATTGAACTCAGGACCTCTGGAAGAGCAATCAGTGCTCTTAACCACTGAGTCATCTCTCCAGCCACTCTGTTTTCTATATGTATGTGTGTATGTATGTGTGTATGTATGTATGTATGGATGGATGGATGGATGGATGGATGGACAGACAGATGGAGGCTATATGGGTAACTAGAGAGGGTAGCTGGAGAAGGAAATATCGCATGCTTCTTCTCATATGTGGAATGGAGACACATGTACACGTGTGGTGCAGATGTGAGACATAG